ACTGTAAGCCCAGTAAGGATCAAGCCTCGCAGAGTGCCTTTTGCCAAACCCAAAATCGATGCAGAGCTGGACAAGCTGGTGCAACAAGGTGTGTTGCAGCCAGTAGTGGGTGGGAAACCCCCATAGTTATGCCACTTAAGGCCAACAGGGAGGTGCGCATATGCATGGATTATAAGTGCACTATCAATAGAGCCCTTCAACAACATTCATATCCGGTGCCTGTAGTCAGCCACATTTTGGCGTCACTACAGGGAGGTTGCATATTTGCCAAATTGGATTTGGCTCAAGCCTACCAGCAACTGCCTGTGGACAATGCCACGGCAGAAGCTCAAACTATAGTTACTCAAAAGGGAGCTTTCAGGGTGAAGCGCCTACAATTCGGGGTCAGTGTTGCCCCAGGACTTTTCCAGGGCGTGATGGAGCGCACGCTCAAAGATAATCCAGGTGTGTGTCCATATTTCGATGATGTCCTCATACCTGGGGAGTCAGTAGAGAAATTGGCAGAATGGCTCAGGGCTGTCCTTCAGCGTTTTGACGAAGCGGGCCTGAAACTGAAAAAGGAGAAATGTAAAATTGGGATAGCTTCAACCGAATTCCTCGGTTTCCGCATAGATGCCAAAGGCATTCACCCTGTTGAATCCAAGCTCAAAGCAATTCAGCAGGCCCCAAGTCCAAAATCAAAGGGGGAGCTTCAAGCATTTTTAGGACTGCTCAATTTTTATCATGCCTTTCTACCACACAAGGCCTCAGTGGCAGAGCTGTTACACCGGCTCTTGGACAAGAAGGCACAGTGGCAGTGGACGAACGTCCACGAGAGAGTTTTTCAGCAGTCAAATCACTGTTGTCTTCAAACTCAGTATTGACACATTTTAACAAAAAGCTTCCTGTCTGCATTGCTTGTGATGCATTCCTGTATGGGGTAGGGGCTGTGCTGAATCATTTAATGGCTGACGGAAGACAAGTTCCAATAGCCTATTATTCAAGGACTCTGTCCTCGATGGAACGTAACTATGCCCAAATAGATAAAGAGGCACTGGCCATTGTGGCCAGTATTAAGAAATTTCATGACTATTTGTGTGGTTGGCCATTCATGGTATTTACGGACCACAAGCCACTGCTGGGTCTGTTTACAACGGACAAACAAACACCTCAGATTCTCTCCCCAAGGATGCTAAGGTGGTCCATTTTTCTCTATGTTTATAGTTACTGTTTAATTCACAAACTGGGCAGGGAAATGGGCCATGTGGATGGCCTTAGTAGGTTGCCCCTGCCGCAATCAGAGCCAGACCCTACTCCAGATGCTCGCATCCTGGCTATCCAGGATTTGCCAAGTCTCCCCTTAATGCAAGGGACGTGGCTACTGAAACAGCTTTGGACAAGACACTGAGCCGCATATTGAATTGGGTGCTCACAGGATGGCCGGACATGAGTTCAAGGCCTACTTTTCAGAGCTTCTCTAGGAGGAAGGACGAGCTATCAACTCACAAAGGTTGCATTTTGTGTGGAAGTCAGGACATAGTCCTGCACTCCTTAAGGCCCAGGGTACTAGAGTCTCTGCACGAGGGACATCTGGGAATAGTCTGGATGAAGGCACTCGCGAGAAGCTACCCTGGTAGCCAGGGTTAGATAAAGGTATTGAGGCCCAAGTACACAGCTGCTATATTTGTCAGCAATCCTGGCCAGATATGCTGCAAGCCACCGTCCATCAATGGGAAACAACACAAGCCCTGTGGTCAAGAATACACATCGATTTCGTGGGACCTTTTCAGGGACAGCTGTTCCTCATTGTCGTAGACAGTCACTCTAAGTGGTTAGAGGTAACACCTGTCCCAACTATGACTACTGCCAGGACCATCCAGGAACTGCACAGGATCTTTACCACACATAGATTACCCGACGTGATACTCTCAGACAATGGGGCTCAATTTACTGCTACAGAATTCCAGTCCCTTTTGAGGGCTAATATAATCAGGCACACCACTTTGGTCCCTTTTCACCTGGCCTCAAACATCCAAGCAGAACACATGGTCCGAATGACCAAAGAGTCCTTAAAAAGGATCGTAACTGGCAACTGGCAGCATAGGTTAGTCGATTTTTTACTCAGCCAACACACAACTCCCTGCACTTCCACGGGCAGAAACCCAGCAGAATTAAGATGGGGCCATTGCTTAATTACTAAGCTGGACTGTCTGCATCCAGACTGAGTTGCATCAGAATCAGCACAGCCAATGCCACTGCAGAGATTGCAATTTGGCGACCCAGTTTGGGCTTGGAACTATGGGCAAGGGGCACTGTGGGTGGTAGCTGTGTTGGTAAGGTGTCAGGGCCACTCTCTCATGAAGTGGTCCTGGAAGATGGTCGCATGCTACGAAGGCACATTGACAAACTGCGCAGGAGGCTAGCGAACCAGCCGCTGGCTCATGACTCTCGCAAAAGTCAAATTCAGGGGGAGCACAACAGCAGCCATGCATAAGAGTCATCGAGTGAAGGCAAGACTCCCAGGAGAGCACTAGCAGATGGCGAGTTGGCCCCAAACACAGAGACTGTACCCACTGAGCAATTCTGGCAGACGGCTCCAATTTCCTGCCCGGTGGAAACCATTCCACCAATGGACACTGGCTCGGATCTACCCAGAGACTCAGGTCTACCCGTAGCAAATGGGTCTCAAAGCCCTGGTCTACCCAGCCTGGCAGGCGAGCTAATAGATTGGGGGCCTACAGTGAGGCCAAGGCGCTTGGAATGGTCAAGAAGGCCACCAAAATATTTATAGGACTATGTTCAATATTTGTCATTATGAACTATCTAGGGGGAAGGGATGTTATGTATTGAGGTTAATTACTTGGAAACTGTTGGAAACGGTCAAACAGCTGTACCTGTTTAAGCTCCAGACTGACTGTCTACATGTTAATTAGCTTGTCTTTAAGCGGGAAAAACTGCTTCAATTCTATTGACTGCCACCTAGTGGTGAGCTGTATAAATACTGGTTAAGCAGCAGTTAGGGGTTTTCTGTTGTTAACTGAATAAAGAGTTGTTGTTTGTACCATTCGCCTCGTCAATGCCTCACCTAACTAGAAATATAACATTTTCCAAATATATTCTTCCTGGTTATTGTGAGGTACAGTCCATTTCCTACCAGAAGCCATTCATATAAGTAATATATAGACCATGGCCTAGGAATCCAAATTTCTCTTGATGGCACCAACCCTTAAGCTGGTGGGTTATTTCTAAAATCCTTTGTTTTCTTGTTGGATGTTGACCTTCCATTGGTAATACATATGAAAACATGACTTGTGCTCCTCTTTGGCTTTTATGCTGAGCTGTTCATAGTTTCCTGGTATTGTTTTCAGGTTCATTGTTGTATCCCTAGTCTCCACATGAAAGGGATAGTAATCCCTTTGGGCTTCATTATCATAGTAAGGCCCTCAATCACATATTTGATTTTTGCACCTGGGAGACAAGGTACTTCCCTAGATGGTTACCTGACTTACAAATGCTGATTCTGTTCCTCTGAGAAGTGAATCTTCTATCACATGCCTTCCCCCCCCCCTTGGGCTAGTTTTCTTGCAGATATGGGAACACTTAATGATGTCCCTTCTCCAAGTTTCTGTATACTTTCTTCAAGGAGGTGGGGAGGATATGAAATCAATTGCTCAGCTCCAGCAGGGCTTCACTGTACTGGGCTGCACTAGACAGCAGAAACATTTGTTCTTGGTTTTTGTTCTCTTCTATGAGTGATGTGTTGCCATCGATCTATCTCTAAAAGTTCATATAATAGGTTCATTTCTTTTAATAATTGTTACTATGTTTGGATAAAGTCTTCTTCCTTTGGTTGGAGTTTCCTGTTTTGTAGACTGAGTCCCAGAGTGGCTGGAGTTGCCTCTAGATGCTTTAATTTTTCTTTAAGTATTTCATTTAGTTTACATTTGGTACAAGTGTAATTTGGGTATTCTATAGACAGGAATACCTACATGGAACATATTTTGCAAATCACAACAGCATCAGTCTCTTTTTCCATGACTATTTTTTTTTCATGACTAGTTCACTTAAAAATTAAACATTTCAAACATTTTCAAAACTTTAAAATAATTTTTCAAAAATGTTAAAAATTCTAAAAATTTATCTAAAAATTAAACATTTCAAACATTTTCAGCTTCCAAAAATTGAAAAAAATAAAAAAAATTAATAATTCCCAAATTACAGTTCTTAAATGTTAGTGTTTTGATTCCTCTTGTGGCTAGCTTCAAATGCATATGAGGTTGCCCTCTAGATATAGCTTGTAATCCAAAGATGTATAAAAGAATAACAGTTAAATAAAAGATTGAAAGAAAAAAAATCTCAACTGAAAATAAAAAATGAAATATAGCCTGTAATTAGTATTAAACTTTATAAAAAAAATAATAGTTTATAACAATACAGAAGAGATTCTTTTCTTTAAAAATTTTGTAGTTTTTATGGTTTGTATTCCAAAAGGAAATAGAGCAATGATTGCAGAGAAATAGAAACTGAGTATCTTATTGCGTTAAGTTTTCTTAAGCATTTGTCCTTATTGCCTGAAGCTGTCATATTATTTGCTTTTCAGTAATCTTCATGGATTGTTCAGGTCAGAATTATTAAAAACAAAGAAAGGTTTTTGAATGCTAAGATAAAGAAAATCTTGATATGTATATTTTATATGCTTTTGTATGTATATACACATGTCTGGCTGTCTACCTATCTGTCTGCCTGTCCATCCATCCATCCATCCATCCATCCATCCATCCATCATTTTATATATATAAAACACACATAAATACACTGCCTGCAATTAAGTTCTCAGGGTAATTTGCTGACTTCTACCTATCATTTTCTCTTAGCCTAAACTAAGTTGGAGGGTTGTTGTGATAGAATCTAATGCACCACATGAAAATCTTGGAAAGCAGGACAGAAATGCAACAAACAGGCTGATAATACCTTTTTAATGCTTATTAATTTCTATAAAATATTTTGTGAATGTTAATCACCTTGATCATATTTTTCAGTGGTGTATGTCCTTCTGAAATCTTGTGCACAAAGAGAGTTTCCAGAAGAAGCCTGATATAATGTAAACAGTGACAGATGCAGGCCAAACTGCAGAAATAATAAAGAGTAAGAAATAAACATTTTAAAAAATCTGATGCTATTGTATGCTCAAATCTAATCTATTGTAGCAAAGAATCTAAACAACGTGCTCTGTTTATGATCAGTTTGCTAAGTAGCCTATAGGAAATCACTCTTTGAAAAATGGAGATTATTATAATGCTGAGGTTTTTTCATTAAAAAGGTCATGCAGTTGAAGTATTTTGAATATATTAAGACATAATTTTGAAGTACTGTTATTAAATGGAGAAACTTTAGCCAACTTAAAAATTCAACTTATCCAATTAATCAACTGAATTCAACTTACCCGTCTTATTTAACTTGATTATAACTACTAAAAGTTGCTGAAAGTATTTTATTTCATCTAGTTTTTTTTTATTGAAAATTTTTTAAAAGTTTTACAAATAAACAACCAACAACCCTCACCCAATCCCTCCCAAACCCACCCCTCCCTCCCCCCTCCCCAAACTTCCCAGAACTGAATATAGGCTTATTTAAAATTTTAAAAAACCTAAACAAATTTTTACAACTTATAAAATAGTTAATAATAAAATATAGATAACATAAGCATTAAAAAAAGTACTTAAAAAAAGAGGAAAGAGAGAGAGAAAGAAAAAGAAAAAGAAAGAAAAATAAAAAAATAAAAGAAAAAAAGAAAGAAAACAAAAGACGGGAAAAAAAGAGAAAACAATCTATACAAACTATGAAAAAGCTAAATGATATTTTTCCATATCCAAATTATATTGTATAAAATTTATCCATTTTTCCCATACAACAAAAAATTTCTCTTGAGATTGCTCCTTTAAGAAAGCCGAAATCTTTGCCATTTCCGCCAAGTAAGAAACTTTATAAAACCACTCTTGTAAAGTAGGCAAAGATTCCTTCTTCCGATATTGTCCTACTAACAGCCTTGCGGCTGTAATCAAATTTAACATCAATATAACTTCCTTAGCATCACAATCAATAACAATACCTAATAAAAATAATTGCGGGGTAAATTTAACCCTCCTTCTAAAGATTCTTTGAATATTCCACCATATCTTAATCCAAAAAGCTTTTATATTTTTACACGACCACCAAATATGATAATAAGTAGCGTCCAAACAACCACATCTCCAACATTTAGGCTGTAGATCAGGGTACATAATAGACATTTTTTGTGGATCAAGGTGCCATCTATAAAACATTTTGTAAAAATTCTCTCTTAAATTCTGCGCCTGTGTAAATTTAACATTCCTCACCCAGATAAGTTCCCAAGTATCCAATGGGATTGGTTCACCAATATTTTGTGCCCATTTAATCATACAATCTTTGATTAATTCAGATTCTGAATCCATTTCAACTAAAACCCCATAAACCCTCTTAATATGAGTTGGTCTTTGATCCCTTACTTGTTTAAAAAGATTTTCATCTTCTCTAAGCCAACCCATATTACGATCCGTCTTCCATCTATCCACTATTTGTCTATATTGAAACCATGAGTAAGTAATGTTTTCATGTACTAAATCTTCCAAAGATTTTAACTGCCAATTTTGACCATCCCATCTAAGTAGTTGTATATAGGAAACCGTATCCATCTTAACTCCTCTCTTTATCCCCTCTATCGCATGCCAAGGTATAGCCCATAATGGTATTTTAAAATCGCTTTTATAATATTTCCTCCACACCCTAAGCAAAGAAATCCTTATAATATGGGATTTAAAAACCCAATCCACTTTTTTATTAAAAATTAAATAGGCATGCCATCCAAAAAGTAAATCCCAACCCTCCAAATGGAGTATTTCTACATTTGTTAAATTCATCCAATCGCTAATCAATGTTAAGACCACAGCGTCATAATATAGTTTCAGATTCGGTACCTTGAGTCCACCTCTCTCACGAAAATCTTGCATAATTTTAAGTTTTACCCTTGGTTTTTTCCCTGCCCAAATAAATTTGTTAATACCTTTCTGCCATTTATTTAAATTAAGTTCATTCTTTAAGATAGGTAACATTTGAAACAAAAAAAGAAATTTTGGTAGGACATTAATTTTAATAACTGCAATTCTACCCATAAGAGATAACTGTAAATTATCCCAATTCTTTAAATCCTTCTGTACCCCGATCCACAACTTTTCATAATTGTTTTTATACAATTTTACATTAGAAACAGATAATATGACCCCCAAATATTTTACCTTATCAACAACTTCAAAGTCTGTTAAGTTAACCAAGGTCTGTTTATCGCAATTAGTCATATTTTTGGGTAATATTTTAGTCTTATTATTATTAATTTTAAAACCCGAAACACACCCATATTGATGAATCAATTGTAATAATTTTACTACCGAATAAGTAGGTTGAGACAAAGTAACAACCAAGTCATCTGCAAAAGCTCTTAACTTATATTCTTTTTTATTAATCTCTATTCCTTTTATTTCTTGAGACTCCCGAATTTTAATCAACAAAATTTCCAATGTTAAAACAAATAATAACGGAGATAATGGACATCCCTGTCTTGTACCTTTTTCTATTGTGAAAACCTCTGACAAACCCCCATTAACAATAAGTTGAGCAGTCTGTTTTTGATATATATTAGATAAAGCTTGTAATATATTTTGTCCAAAATTCATCTCCTTGATTAAACATAACATAAACTGCCAATTCAATTGGTCAAAGGCTTTTTCAGCATCCAAAAATATCAGCCCTGCAAAGACTTGGTTGTTTTTATCTAAATATTCTAATAAGTTAATAATTTGTCTAACATTATTTTTCATATATCTTCCAGTTATAAAACCCGATTGGTCCTTATGTATAAGCTGCTGCAAGACCCCCATAAACCTATTAGCTATAATTTTTGCAAAAATTTTATAATCCACATTTAAAAGAGATATAGGCCTATAATTCTTGGGCAAAGTGAGATCTTGATCCTCTTTTGGAATCAAAGATATAAAAGCATTGCACCATGACGGAGGAATCTCTAAACCTTGTAATATATTATTAAAAAGCTCACATAAAGGTTGAATCATCTCTTCTACTAGAGTTTTATAATAAATAGCTGTCAAGCCAGCCGTACCCGGCGCTTTGCCTAATTTTAATTGCTTAATAGCTGTCACAATTTCCTCATTGGTAATTAAACCATTAATCTCTTTTTTCTGATCTTCTGTTAATTTAGGAAGATTAGCTTTACTTAGGTAATTATTTATATCTGTAATTTGTACATTAGTACTCTTATATAACTTTTGATAATAATCTAAAAAAGATTTCTTAATCAATTCTTTCTGATAAACCAATTTACCATTATAATTTATTTTATCTATAGTTCTCTGTCTCTGTTTCTTTCTTAACTGATAGGCCAGCCATCTCCCTGGTTTATTAGCATTACAAAATGTATTTTGTTTCATAAACATTAAATTAGTTGCAGCTTGGTCAGCCATCAACATATTAAATTGTGTTTTTAACAATTTTATAGCTCCTTTCACCTTTTCATCTAAAGGATTTAAAATCTCTTTTAATTTAATCTCATCTTCCAATTCTTTACGTTTCTGAGTCTGCTTTTGTCTATGAAAATTATTCATTTTTATCAAAATCCCACGCATAAAAGCTTTACTTGCATCCCATACCATTGACATTGATGTTCCCTTATACATATTTAAAACAAAATAATCCTTTAAGCATTCCTTTAATTTTTGAACATTTTTTTCTTGTTTAAATAAATTCTCATTCAACCTCCAGGATCTCCTCTCCTCTTTCTCAGCAACCAGTTCCATCCAAACTGGACTATGATCTGTCAATGACCTAGGAAAAATCTTTTACATTCTTCACCCTGTTATATAAATCTGTTGTAATCAGGAAGAAATCAATCCTTGAGAAAGATTGGTGTCTATCTGAGAAGAAAGTAAAGTCTCTTTCCTCTTGATTACGTTCACGCCAATAGTCTCTCAATTCCCAATCTTCTTTCAAATCAAAAAAAGCTTTAGGTAGTTTAGCCTGTTTGAAGAAGGTAGAAAAACCTTTTTTATCCTTTTGTGTATCTAAAACACCATTCCAGTCTCCCATTAATATCACTGACCTATAATCCAACAGAGTTATTTTCTGATGTAACAATCTGTAAAATTGTTCCTGTTGCTGGTTTGGTGCGTACAATCTCACTATAAGTATTTTCTTACCATATAAGCCAAGTTCAATCATAACATATCTTCCTTGAGGATCTGATTCTACCAGACAAGCTGGTAGGTTTTGCTTAACGTAGATTACCACACCCCCTTTTTTCCCAGGGGCAGGAGATACAAAATGAGATCCCAAGCGAGCATTAGCTAAATATTTTTGGTCTTTAAGTAAAATATGAGTTTCCTGCAAGCAAATAATGTCATTATTATGTTGCTTTAAATAATGAAAGATTTTCTTTCTCTTCTGGGGAAAATTAAGACCGTTAACATTCCAGGTCAGGAACTTTGCCATCTCCCTTAACCAGGAGCCTGGAGAAGATTCCCTCAAGATCTGCTACTGAGGAATGTGTTGCAGAGCTTTTGGGTCTTGCTCCTCCCACCGGCATCGAAACAATCTGATGAAAAGATTCTTTAGCTTCTTTCTTCTGTTGTTCTTTTTCCTTACGTTTATGTGCTGCACGAGTCATTCTCTGTTCTTTAACCTCTGCTTGACGCATCCATTCCACCTGCCCAGCAGCCATCAAACTTAGTCCTTCAGACTGCTGTTCCACCTCTTTGTCACTCAAGGCTCTCTGAGTCATAGATGAAGATGAGCCTGCTCCCAGGACCGTATTGTAAAATTCTTTAGCTTTAGCAACCGTGTTAAATCTATAACGTGTCCCCGCATGGCTCAAAGCAATACCCATCAGAATCTCCCATCTAAATGGCATCAATCTTGTTTTGAGTTCATTTGCTAAAAAAGCAAAATCTTTTCTGCTTCTTAAAATTTTGGATGGGATTTCCTTTAGGATAATGATATCTTGGGCAGCAATCTGGAATCTCTTGTTATAAAAAGCTTGTAAAATCTGATTGCACAGAGACTTCTTAGCAAAGTAAATCACAACATCTCTTGGCAAATTCTTCTGTTTCGCAATCCAGGAGTTAACTCTGTAAATTTTTTCCACTTCTCCACATAATTCCTCTTTATCTATATTCAAAACAACAGCTAAATCATTAATCACCATCTCCTCAAATCTTGATTCATATCTTCTTTAAGACCCCTGATTCTCAAGGCATATTCCATCTGTCTATACTGAAACATAAGAATATCATCTTGTGAAGTTTCCACCTGTTTTTTCCACATCTTGAAATTTATACTCAAGAAAATCTACTTTTTCTGCGACTTCTTCCACTCTGGAGTCCAGCTTCACGACCACTGAAGCCAATCCAGATAAAGCTGAGACTATATCTTGCCTCAAAATAGTATTATTCTGTTCAAAAAGCTCTTTCATTTCTTTCTTCATTTCCTCCTTACTTTCAGACTTGCTCTGTTCCAAAAGTTGCTTCACTTCCTCCCTAAATTGAGACACAGCATTTTCCATTATATCTTTAATGTCTTGTGCAGACAAGCCTGATGGGGGAGGAGAAGGTGGAGATGTAGCCTTAGGTTGCTGCACCGGTGGTGTTACTTTAAGTTGTTGTTGAACAGTTGCAATAACAGGAGAAGAAATCACCTTAGAAACTATAGAAGCTGGTTGTCTCTTTGAAGCCATTTTTTTTTAAAGTTAGTCCCTCTTTCTTTCTTCTTAAAAAAAAAGAAAATACTTAGATCTTTACAAATAAAAAAAGACCAGGAAAAGTGCAATAAAAATAAGAACTTCCAAAGCACTTTAAAAGGAAAAAGAAAAGAAACTTAAAAGAGAAAAAGAAAGCAATGCTAAGCATTTCATTCAGTCCGTCTTTTCTTTCCGGAGATAAGAAAAAAAACTTTCAAAGCGCCATTTTACTTTCACTCTCACTTTCCCCCGAAGAAAAAAAAAGCCAAAAAAAAAAAAAGAATCAGCATAAGCTAAAAAAAAATTAAGAAAAATGAATCTTTAACTCTAAATAAAATCCTTTAAACAGTTCTGTCCGCTTTAAAAATCACTCACCAGAAAGCTTTAAGTGTGGAGATGGTAGTGGCGTTTCGCTTTGCTTCCGAGGAAACAAAGACAGCTGAGAGGCGGAGAAGGCACGAACTCCGAGGGAGCACTCTTTCTACCCCCCCTAAAAAAAATCCAGGGAAGGTTAAAAGGTTCTACCTCTATTCATGCAGTCTCTACCCCTTCCCTTCGCCCAGGAAGGGGATTTCGAACCGCGGGCCAGCTGGTGTACGCTGTGCTCCACAGATCTGACACCGTCTCAGGAGGACGGCTACAAAGTAGCCGCCATCATCGTCGTCTAACCACCGGAAGTCCATTTCATCTAGTTTTTGTTATGTTCATTTGTATTTATAGACTGGGATAGAAATTGCATTGGAATTATTTGACCTATGTGGTTCTGCAACAGTTAAAATACACATGCATGATTTGAATTAACAAATAAGTCCATGCAGTGTTATCATTTAAAAGCGCAATATATTTCAGTTAATTGTTACCTAGTTTGTTATAATTATGACTTCAAAAATACAGGGCATTAGAATGGCTTTTTAAGAGAATAGAATATGGAAAAAGACAACCATATTAATCTTATCTTTCATCATATTCACAATGTGTACATACAAATACACTTCCCAAGGATATTATTTCAAAATTCAGATATATAACTATTTAGAATTTATTTTTATTAATTTGAGCTTAGATACTTCTTTGGTCAAGGTCACTCTAAGAATGTTCAAAAACAATAGTCACAGCTGCCCCCTTTCAAGATGGCTGCTGCACGGTAAGAGTTTCATTTTTTCTCTTACCAGTAATCTGCTGATTTAACTGCTAAAGATGCTTCTTTGGCAGTTCTGTCTCCTGGTTTTGAATGGGAGCACTTAGGAGTGGCCCAACGTGACTTTTTAACAATGGTGGGCTCAGTGAGGAAGTGTGTGTGGGGGTGTTCTTAAAAATTCCAATTCCCTCTGGAAGCGATTGAAAAGTCACTGGACATATCCACCTTCCTGTCAAGCAGGAAGATTGGAAACTTTAATTTAATTCTGTTTTACTATTATTGCTTTTCCTGTTATCACTAATGTAACATATAGAAAACAGGTCAACAAATTATTAATAGATTTAATAGTTTAAAATTTTGGGAGGGCCTGTTTCGTAAGAGTAGGAACTAATATTGCAGTAATATAATAATCAGTATTCAGCTAGAAGGGATAATATGTGTATAATGTGCTGTTGTGGTAGTGATGCACCTCTTTAATGTTTTGATTGCTTTGTGTTTTGTGTTTTCTTTTCTTTTATGCCTTTTGGGATTTTTATTTAGTGTTATATTTTGCATTTTAACTTTGTTCTGAATAAAATAATATGCATATACACATGTACATACATATACATATACACAATAGTCGCGACTGAAGCTATTAAAATAATAAAGGTTCATTCATTCAGAGTTCAATATAATCACTATGCAGCTGATACCCAGTTTATACCTCAGTTTGGGGGTATGCTTTTTCAATGAAATAACAGAATAACAGAGTTGGAAGGGATCTTGAAGGTCATCTAGTCCTACCCCTTGCTCAAGCAGGAGACCCAATACTTAAAAGCCTCCAGTGTTGGAGCATCCATAATTTCTGAAGGAAAGTTATTCTTCTGGTTGATTGTTCTTACTGTTGGGAAGTTTCTCTTTAGTTCTATGTTTTCTGTCTTTGATTAGTTTTTTCCATCCATTGCTTCTTGTCTTGTGTTCTGGTGCTTTGGAAAATAGGTTTTTGTGGCAGCCCCTCAAATATTAGAACACTGCTATCATGTCAGCCCTAGTTCTTCTTTTCACTAGACTAGACATACCCAATTCCTGCAAAACTTCTTCCTATGTTTTAGCTTTCAGCCCACCCAGACATGCTCTTTTCTACATTCTTTCTAGAGCCTCAACATCTGTTTTATATTTAGGGTGACCAAAATTGGATGCTGTATTCCAAATATGGTCTTACCAAGACATTATAAAGCAGTAACATTACTTCTCGTGATCTTGATTCTATCACTCTGTTAATACAAAAGCCTAGAATTGTGTTGGCTTTTTGATAGCTGTGGGACATTGCTGCCTCATATTTAAGTGAAAGTCTACAAGGACTCCAAGATTCCTCTTGCAGTTACTGCTGTTGAGCCAAGTTTCATCTAGTCTGTACCTGTACATTTGGGTTTTCTTGCCTAAGTGTAAAACTTTACTTTTTTCTACACTGAATTTCCCAGTGTTTAAGTCTATGAAGATCCATCTGGATTTTAAGCCTATGTTCTGGGGTATTTGCTATTCCTGCTAGTTTAGTGTCATCTGTAAATTTGATGAGTTTTCCTTTTATTCCCTCATCCAAATAGTTTATGAAGCCATTAAAGAGTACTGGACCTTCCTTCCATGTAGAAGTAGTTCCATTAAGGATTACATGTTGAATATGATTTATCAACCAGCTAACAATCCATCTGATGGTGATGTTATCTCACACTTTTCTACTTTACTAAGAAGTAAGTTGTGGTCTACTTTGTCAAATGCCTTACTGAAGTCTAGGTATACTATTTCCATAGCATTTTTCTTTAGTCACTGTCAAAGAATGAAATAAGATTGGTTTGGCATGATCTGTTTTTGACTATAACTTTGTTTGTTTCTAGACGCTTGTAAATCTGTTGTTTATCTTTCCAGTATCTTCCCAGGTATTGATGTCAGGCTGATTGGTCTGTAGTTTCCTGGTTTCCTTTTTTGAAAATGGGGACCACATCAGCTCTTTTCCAATCCTCTGGTAGTTCCCCAGTGCTCCAGGATTTTTGAAAAATATAGTTCAGTGGTTCTAAGATTACATCTGCCAGTTCCTTCAGAGCCTTGGGGTATAATTCATCTGGTCCTGGTAATTTGAACTCACTATTTTCTTGTCTATTTTAACTTGTGTTTCTAGACACTCTTTTAGTGTTATGTTTTTGTTTGGTTGAGCTAGATTTTCTTTTTGCGTGAAGACTGATGCAAATAATGAGTTAAGCAGCTCTGTTTTTTCTCTACTGCCTGTTACTTCTTTGCCATCATTTGCCATTAGTAGGCCAATTGTTTCCTTGACTTTTTTTTGTTTTTCTTACATGTTGAAAGAAACTTTTTTTTTATTGTTTTTGATATTAGTTGCAAGTCTTACTTCATTTTGAGCCTTAGCTTTCCTGACTTCATCTTTGCAAGTTCAGGCTATTTGTTGGTATTCTGCCTTAGTTATATGTCCCACTTTCCATTTTTTATATTTATCTTTTTTGTCTTTCAGTTTGTCAGAGAATTGTGTAACCATGATTGTTTCTCCTTGGATTTCTTATTTTTCCTTTCTAGTAGTATTCTGATGGACTGCGTATTTATAATCATATTCTTGTTCCAAGCTTCTTGGCTTGTTTCCCCCTTTAAGATTTAAAATATATAGATAAGAGAGGGAGGGAGGGAGGGAGGGAGGGAGGATGATAGAATTTCCTATAATGTACAAAATATTTTCTGAATAGAAATTTTTGCATATTTGTGGAAGATCAAATAACATTAGGCAAATTTCAAATGTAAGAGGAGAATATGAATAGAAAACTACTTTCAGGAGAAATAAAACGTGGAAAAGAAGGTGACAGTTACTGGTTGACAGCCAGTAACTGCCAATATTAATAAGGGTATTGGGTTTGTATTCATAGTTCACTACATAAAAGAAATTTTAGCTTTTTCCAAGAGGGACTGAAAATATATTCCAAAGAGTAACAAAATCTGTCAGCCAGTTGTTTCTTTCTGTTACTTTCTGTCTCTCTCTTTCTCTCTGTATGTGGGTATGTGTGTTGTGCACACATTTATGTATCTATATAAATAAATATTAAATGCAGGCATTCTTACTTACTGAACTACAGAATGGCGTAAACATCTTGCACTTTCTTTTGCATCATAAATAGTGGAGAAACGAAAATAAAACAACAGATAGATTAGAAGAGGACCTGTATATTCAGTTAGGAAAACCTGAAAAAAAACAAAAATAAAAAAGGAACAGAAAAAGATTGGTTAATATAACAAGAACAGTTAGATAAGGGCTATATTTCTGAGAAATGTTTTATAGCTCTTTAAGCAAAAGCCAAAAGATTTTGACACCTCCTTGCTCTAATCCTTGAAACCCCACAAAGTAGGGTAATCTAAATTTGCTCTTTCATTGTAGCCAGGTTTTACTTTGTCCCAAGCACTAGGCCAGCAGATGTATTAACAGCTTACTATGGGACAAATTAAAGTGCAAGGATTGATGGAGTAATCCACTTATTGCCCTCCTCAAAGTCAAATGGTGACTTTGATGCTAAATTTACCATGAATTCCCAAATAATGTCAGAAAGCCTCTGTACAATATTGACTCTCTAATAGGTTATCCAAATAAATCCCTCTCATCTGAGGGATTAGTAGATGCAGTATAGGAATTATGGTCTCTATTCAATTATTGATTTAGATATCTTGGTTGAAAACAACTTGTCCTATGATGCACCATTTCATCTAGTAAAAGTTTACAGATACAAGAGTTTAGTAGGCACAGTCAAAACACAATTTTTACATAAAAATATGCAGCAGTAATAATATTAATAGAAATTGATATTCACTTCAAATATCTTATTTGAATCAATCAGAGTTACAAGCATATAACAAGTTGTTGTTGCTAAGAAGAAAATTTGACAACTAAAAATATGACTTTAGAGCAAAGGATTTCAACTGCTCTTCCATGGAACAGTTATGTGCCACAAAAGATCTGCAGATATGCCATATCAGAAATCACAAGCAAATATCAGAAAGTGGTGTATAGCTGTGTAGCCAGATCTCCACTTCTGTGACATCACCAGGGACAGACTGCCTCCATTTCTGCTTGTAACTCCCAGCCACATGTGATGTCACAGAAGTCCAGGTTTGCGGTCCAAATGTCCTGCAAAAAAGCTGTGTATCTTGAGTTGAAAAGATTGAATACAATTGCTAAAAGGAATTAAATGTAGAATTTATCTAATGTAGAAAATTCCTTATTATATTTTGAATTAAACCAAGAATCTGAGTAACATTCAAATTTGTCTTCCAAAAGAGTTGAAGCTATAGCACTAAATTGTAGAAATCTGGAGAAGGAGGGAAAGAGGGAGGAAGGGAGAGAAATAGCAAGGAAGGAAGGAGGAAAAAGAAAGAAAGTAGAGATATAAAATAGCAGGGAGGGAGGGAAGAAAGGGAGGAAGGAGAGGAGGGAGGAATCCTTGCTTAATGTTCTTTTGATGATAAATGAGTAAAAATGTGAAAAATATCTAACATTTGGTTTAAATTTGAACTATGATACAGACAAAATTAAATTCAAAATGTCATTTGAATTTTTGGAGCACCAAAATTAGATTTGAAACCATTTAAAAATAAAGACCACATCAAGTTTCAGCAATCATTTATGGTAGAGGAGGATAAAAATGACTGCAAATGTTTTTTCTTTTTTATAATTTATATAAAAAGAATTGTATATAAAAGAATTATATAATTCTTTTTATATAAAAGGGTGAAGTTAATAGAGATGTTGAACTGTTTACAGATCTTAATTCTCCATTTTCAACTGAAGACTTTGGAGAGTTTGCCATAGTCAAATTTCAAAATATTTTTTCCCATGCCCCTTTTAAAGATAGTAAAGATGAGAATAGGAAAAAATAATATAATCAGAAGGCTGAAAATGAGCTTGGAAGTCTTCTAGTCTATTGCTGCTCAAGTTCTCTATCCTGGACAAAATGTTGTCCAGGTTATTCTTGAAAATCTCTAGCAGCCACAACTCCGGGAGGCAAGAAAATTAATTCTTCTCACTGTCAGGAAATTTCTCATTGCTTCTAGGTTGGATTTCTCTTTAATGAGAGATCAATGAGAAGCAACCCATTGCTTTTTGTCCTGCCCTCAAAGTGTTATGGGGAATAAGTCTACCCCTCAAATGACAGTCCCTCAAATAATGGAAGACAGTAACAACATCACCTCCAATCCTTCTCTTTGATATGCTAGACATATTTAGCTTCTCTGCACACTTTCTATACTCTCAGCATCTTTTTTTGTATAATTGTGACCAGAACACAGCATTCCAATTGTGGCCTCAATGTTGCAGTAAAAAGTAGTACCATCACTATCATTTAATGCTAATCATCTATTGATGCAACTTAAGACTATATTGGCCTTTTTGGCAGGACATCTGGCTCATATTTAAATGCTAATCCAATTTAGATCCCTGTCATAGTTACTTATTGCTCTCATTTTTTCAAAAATAAAAATATCTGCATCCTATATTATTTAATACTCTTGTCTTGGTTTCCTACCGTTGAAAGTATTGAAGCAGGTTGAATTTTTATGAAAGAGATCAAATCCAGCTGATACAAAATGTACTGAATGATAAGTATGCTTCTATAATATCATCTATTTATACATGACTGAGAGATAGAAGTAGGACAGGAATGTGTTGCTTGATTCCATGAATACCAGAGTGAATATTCAGTTCAGACTACAAACTTCATATGCCTGGGTGATTCATTCAGATTCATCCTACAGTGATAGTAATGACTCAGCATTTTTGGTTAGCAGTAAAAAAAATTTGGGGACAAATGGCTCTTGTGTTTTCAGAACTGGGAAAAGCTTTGTATGCTGGGTGAAACTAGATACCTAATGTACCTTTTTGTAACAAATGCATTGAACTACTGAAAGCTTAGTAAAAGATCTTTTGGCTGTGACATCTGGTCTAATATTTTTTTCCCCATGATCAATTTTTTGAAACATTCTTCCTAAGAAAATTCTGCAAAATCTGAAGCTTGATTCCCACTACGTATCATTTTAATTGATCTTAGTAAAACAAATTTTTTGCTATTTCATTTAGAATGGTCCATTCTTCATTTATCATATTCTATAATTCTTCTGAGATTACTGTTAGTGGCAATTTGATTTTAAACTTGATAATCTGTAAAAAATAAAAGCTACCTATTGGTGACCTGGTTAGAATGCTTCTGTAAAGAAAGCGGGTTATTTTTTAAATGTCTTCTTCATCTTGTCATATGATATTATATACATATACCCATAGTTACATGCATATGCATATTTATACATATACATATAGATATTATTTACATCTCAAACTTAGAAAATCACCATCATCCTCATAGAGTGATTCTGATCAGTCTACAAGTAAAATATGAAACAAATTCTATATATAAATTTTAAATTAGTGGTCAAACTAGATAAAATTCAAGTTCAAAATAAGAGGAGGATTTCAAGGTGCTAACTGGGGCCATGGTTGCATGCTTTTGTGAGCCTCAAGAGACATTTCTGAAGGGCCAAGAGAGTGGGGGTCCACTTCACCTCTGAGGAAGAATGTTTCAGGGGTCAGAGGCAATGGCAGAGAAGACTGGACCACACCAGTCAAAATTATCATGCCATATTATATATCATATTATATTTACATCCCATATTGAGATTGAAGGAGACACATACTGCCTATAGGAATGAGAAAAGGTTTTTTTTAAATATACATATACGTTGGCAAGTCAATAGAACTTTTCACAAATTAATAATTCCATGGACATTAAAAAGATTAATTCAACATTCCAATAAACTGCATTTTCACATGGTATCACCTAACATGGCAGTAGCTTAACTTTGAATCCATTCATTCATACAGATATGTGCCATTTACCACAATGCTCTTTTCTTAATTTATGAAATCAGAGTCCATGCCTAATCTCACCTGTGGGTTTTTTTGTTTGTTTGTTTTGGTTTTTTTGAGAATCAGGCAAGTCTGTTCAACTTTCAGCTTGAAAATTATTATAAATAATAATAATTATTTATAAAGTATTTATAAAGTTAATTATCATTTTAAAGATATTTTGACATGTTTGGGGTTTTGCTTTTTATTTTGTTAATATGTATGTAATATATTCATAAGATGACTATTCTTTTCTTTGATTCCTTTTATATTTTGTTATTTATTTTAAACCGGTTTCTTTAATAGTTATATTACCATTTGCCCATAAAATATTATTTTGTTACAAACTACTCAGTAATCACAAGAAAGATCAGGATATCGCAGATGGTTGATGAAAAAATATCTCAAAGGTGCTTTTTCAAAAGGAGAAACTTCTTGGATAAGAAGCGAAACATCTTCCTCAAGGAAAAAACAGTCCAGTTGCCTTTTGAAAAACCACCTTTGAAACAACATAGAAGAAAAGATATTATGCCTATTTAGTTCATTGTGAAAGTCATTTCTGATTTGTACATCTGATTTTTTTAGCCATAAGAAGTTAATTGCTGAAGTCTACTTCTTGAAAGGTCTTGTGATAAGCCAGGTTCTTTTATTAAAAATTCTCTCACAATCACGTAAGTTATTAAGTCAGTGTTTCTCAATCTTGGAAACTTTAAGATGGGTGGACTTCAACTCCCAGAATTCCCTAGCCAGTATGGTAGGGAAGTGAGACTATTTAAATTTAAATAGTGAGACTATTTAAGGAGAATCTGCCCCTTAGTTTTCTAAGGACATTGTTTTTCTATATTCCTTGGCTTTAGGTTCTAAATTAAGGTGCATCTTTTAGTGACAAACAGATCTAGATTGAGTAGGCCAAACTAGCAAGTAAATAAATTGCTTGTCTAAACAAATGTAAAGAATTAGTTAAATTCTAGTCTAGTCTAATCTAGTCCAGGCTTAGACACAAAGCCAGTTGGGTAACTTTAGCTCTAGGAAGAAGGCAATGGCAAGCTATTTCTTGGGGGTGGGGCTTGCCAAAAAAAACAATAGGGATATGTCCAGGCTATCTCTGAGACATGATTGAACAAAAGGAAAAAAAACAATAAAAGAAGAATCAAGCAGCTATGAGCTGTTTTAGAACTGAATTATATGGCTGTGTATATCGGTGCTTCTAGAAAACTTATACTTACTGTTATCCAGCTCACTTGCTGTCCCATGTCTGTGAAATACAGTGTAATAATAGAAGATGCTGCAAGACTCTTTATATTAACAGAATCTTTTAAATAGGGCCCATCTGTTAAAAAAGAAAGCAAGAACAGGAGACATATAATTATATCTTGCACAATATTTCCCTGTTAACATGTATGAGCAGAAAGAAATTCTGATAAAAAAGCCTAACAAATGAAATACTATGTTTGCTTTTCTATGGTACCAAATGAAATTGTCAAATAACATATGTACCTGCAATCCCTAAACCACTACTGAATGCAAGCATGGGGATATAGTAATTGTGTATCAGGGATAAGGTATGTACTTGAGTGCCTTTTAATAAGCTATAGTATTTTCTGACTGTTTCTGCAGAATACAAATGTAACCTGAGCAATAACTTAGTGCAGCAGTTTTCTGTAACTTTAACAGAAGGAAGGATTATTAAAAGAAGAGATGGTGGAATTGTAGGAGAAAGTTGGTCAAACAAAACCACCTATTTTCTAATTAGTTACATACCATCAGGGAGAGCATCAAAAATCAATATGCTAGGAAGACAAAAGCAACCAGGGAAAGCAAGAGATAAAGAAATACAAAGAAGAAATTCCTAACTTGTTGTCTATACTATCGCTAGTCTTTATTGTCAGTAGGCTGAGAGGTGCTATAGAGTCAATGCAACCGAAGTCACCCTGGTAACAGTTTCAACCTGGATAATAACTCTGGGGAACTACTGTAGCCCAAATTTTCTTCCTTCTTTTTGTCTCTCTGGACATGTTTTTTTGTGTACATATATGGCAAAGAATCTGCTGAACTGTGAATGCCCTATACTGACTGTGTGGGTTTCCTCAACTCTTACTTATCTTATGGTTTCTAATACTTTCTGTCTGGTGTTTTATTTTCCTAGTTTGACTGTAGTTATATATACATCTTCTCTCAGGAAGTCTTTTCACATAATTCCAATTTGCTAATTTCAGCAAGAAAATTGGCAGAGTGATATGTTTCACATTTGTACAAACAGCTAGGAGGGAATGATCACCATAAACATGGAATATACTTATATAGATCAGTCGGAAGGATATGCATTCTGTTTGATCAGCCTGGTTTGCATTTACAGAACACTTTGACAAAGAATGAATAATGAAGAGGTGAATTAGAATCCTTTATGTGTTCCTTCACACCTCCCCCATTATCAAAGTATTTGAGGTTCCTATGGAAACCCCAAGAGGGAATCCCAACTCTTTTTCAACATTCCAATTGACCATCCATCAGTTAAAAGAGGTAGACAACTGTTTATAAACTCTTGCCGATATTAGTGAAAAGAATATGTTGCTAAACTCTTTTTCTTGATTCATTGTTAGACAATTGAATGCGAGGAATGTTTTTATTATGATGGTGACAAATATAAATATCTAGGAACAAATGCTTAATAAAGTGCTCCCATATCCTGAAAATTAAAAGACTTCCAAGGTTCCTTCCAACCCTGTCATTCTATATTCTATGTACAAACATTCCAATGATTCACTTTTTAGAATTGCATTTTCTGTACTGTACAAAAGATATTTATGTACTTAGAATTTCCAATAGAAAATATGTGTATCTAAATCTATGCAGTATGTAGTAATGTAGGAAATGAATTATTTCTCAGGGAAAGGAGATTTTAAAATATAGTGATAGGAAAATGAATACTTACTACGTTCTAGTCGCAGGCCTATGCGAGATGGGTACCATTGTGGACCTGTTCTCAAATAAATGAAAAAAATACTTTACTCTCAGGCCTTTGTTAAAGAATAATATTCCTATTACTTTGCCACACCAGTCTGAAGTTTATTGCTTCAGTACTATTGCTTTATAGTATGACAGGATACTTGAATAATCAATAAATTATCACTGTTTATTATTTTATGAAGAATCCAGAAATTTAGATTTGCTTTGGAGACCAACTGCTAACTGAATTTTGCTATTTTGATGTTCTTACAAATTGTTGCTAGTACTGCACAGAAAATTGAGATAGAAGCAATGCATGAAGTGGATGATAAGCTTTGTGTTGTGGATAATTTGAACCATGTCAATATATTTAAAACTATTAATTTGAATTAACATCAAACCTATAAAGTTATTTGCTTTTATCATGATGAATTACCAATAAAAAGTCACCCTGATATTTAACCAGTTCAATAAGAAATTATATCTTTTTGATCATAAAAAATTAAGATAAAAATGCATGTCACTATCTAAACATGTAAAATATGCTACGTCAAAATATCTTCAGAATTTTGAATCGCTTACCAAAATTCCAGATTTCATCTCTTATCAAAAGTATTCCAAATCTGAAATTTTGAGAGTTGTTTCAAAAACATAAAGTACAATAAGAAAAATATTTGTTGCTCAATTTGCAATCATTGCTATTCCATAGAAAGAATACAGTCCCCCAACTAGCTCTAGAAAAAGTGCATCAAAAGCTGAAACTTACTGGAATGGTCAATTGCTAGTGGAGGAGTTATAAGGACAAAATGAGGAAAGCAACATTGTACTTTCACAGTGCAGACCCTGCTCCATAAAAAATGGAACTTTCAAAATGATGATCAATGTGAGGGTTTTCTGTTTTACTTTCTATTGTTTGGCTACTTATGTGTTGTTTTGTTGTTGTTATTGTTTAAAGACAGGAGAGGAGGAAGAGAAGGGCTGACAGTAACAAGGGTAGATTTGGAAAACATTTACATCCAACATATTGGAAATCCAATAATTTTGAATTAAACTTGATTCAGAATTAATAAATGCTAGCATGTGTTTGTGTCACTATTTTTCTGTATAAGATATAAACTCCCTTGGGGCAGTTCTTAATGAGAGCTAGAGAAAATTAATGACCGCATCTATTAGACAATATTTTGGGGTGGATAGAAATTGAATATTGCTAATTTGGACCTTATATTTCAGTGGTGGCAAACCTATGGCACGGGTGCCAGAGGCGGCACTCGGAGCCCTCTCTGTGGGCACATGTCCCGTTATCCCAGTCTCGCCTCCCCCGCAACCCCCTCCTCTCCAGCAGCCCCCCTGAAGGAGAGTCACCCCTGAGCGTGGCCCATGCAGAGCAGCGCAGCCAAGGACAGGGCAGCCAGGCAGCATAGACAAGGCTCTGCCCTCACACCCCATTGTGCACAGCTGATGCTGCAGAGTGTGGGCAGAGGACATGACCGCCATAGTGCTGCTGGGCTGCCTGAGCAATCTGCGGTGGGCCCTGGAGGCGATGAGTGGCCCTGTGGGCAGGCAGAGCAGAGGATGGGGGTGGGGCGGGGGTGGAGCAGGGGGTGGAGCAGAGGCGGGTCCAGTTTTGGGGCATTCAGTCACTAAAAGGTTCGCCATCACTGTTATATTTCATACTATCTCAAAATATGTCAACTGAAATTTAAATGAGAGATGAAAGGATGTTCTCCAGAACAGAAACTTTAATACTATGCTTCGTTGTCAGTGAAAGCAGACACATTCTCTGAAAGTAAAATAGATCTAGAAATGTCAAGTCCTGGTTGGATTGTCTGGAAATAGCAACTGTCATAATAAATGTCCTTTAAGACAGATATGAATCTAGTGCCTGAGAAGTCTCAAGAACACTTCTGAATTACTGCAAAACAGATAATGATATCACTTGGCAACCCTGTATTTCTTTGTTACGCAAACTTGAAAATATTCCCGGAAATGAGCTAAACCATCTGGAGGAGTTTGTCTTTCTGATTTCTAATGCACAAGCCTAACAACTTAAGAAAATGAAGTAAGCTTTAAGTTCATTGATTTTAATATGGGAGGGTTACACTTCAAAATAAACTTGGAATGAAATCAGTAAAATTGATGAGATGTATTTCACTGACTGAATTGTCTTTCTTTATTTGCCATGGTAAAAATTGACCAATATTCATAAGAGATCAATAAATATTAATACAAAGATATCACTAAATTCATATATTAAAGCATAGGGAAATAATTTGGTGATTCATCATTAACAAATGATTTATTGGCTTTACACTTTGCATTAACATGTAATAGTTTTGTCTAGCTTGGCTTTTATAAGTTATTGCAACTTATCCATTATAGCATTGAATGTGAATCCCTATCATTGGGATTCTTTTTATTAAGGTTAAATACAGTAATGCTTTTAATCCTAATTGGTGGCTTAATAATTAAAGATGGTGCTCATTTCAACTAAGAATTAAATCACAAGTCTTTTTATGCTGAATTTGAATCCATTGTTATAACATGGAATAAGAAAACTTCTTAAGGAACATATTTCCCATGAAGAATGAATGCATTTCTTTCTCTATAAAAAAACTGAAATTTTGTCATTAATTACAAGCAGGTGAAATATGGTAATTTGACATGCTAGATTAGTGGTTCTCAACCTTTTTAATGCCGCGACCCCCAACCGGTTGTAAGTCGAGGACTACTCAACCGGTCGTAAGTTGAGGACTACTCAACTGGTGCAGCACCGTTTGCAGAATGGGACTTTTGGCGGGCTCAGCAGGGCAGAGACAGCCTGGACAATTCCTGTTGGGTTTTGAAAGCCAATAGAATTAGACTCTATTCAAGAGAGTCTATTCTATTGGCTTTCAAAAGCCAATAGAATAAAAGAGTAGCACAGCTAAGGAAAAGGGGGAAAAAATGGCAGACTGCGTTGTTTGGTGACCCCCGTGAAATGGTCATTCGACCCCAAATGGGGTCCCGACCCACAGGTTGAGAACCACTGTGCTAGATGAGATCTAGTTGCAATTCTTCTTGGTGGCAATAGTTTTAGGAAGAGGCCCTTCCCAACCTAAAATCTTCCTCTGGAATTGTCAGTAATTAAAGATAGGGCTTTGGGAGTTAGACAGCCTGGACTCTGAACTCTGTGTGATCCAAAATTGCCTTTTCTGAAACAATCTCACAAACAAATTACACAACTGCATTTAAAGCAAACTGGGAAATTATTCAGCTCATTTGTCTAAGGCAGCATTTCTCAAATTTGACAAACTTAAGATATGTAGCCTTCAATTTCCAGAAATTCCCTAGGTAGCCATTGCCAAATTTGAAAACACTTTTGGTCTAAGGGAAGACTGTTAATCAACTAATTTTTAATTAGTTGACAAAAATGTCATATCTGTCCTAATGCTTATGCAAAAAAACAAAACAAAACCTCAGGGAAGATCCCAGAAAGGATGAATAAAACTGGGAACTGAGTAAAGCTGCAAGCATCAGTTTATGGTTAATCTAGGCAGCAAATCTCTTGGAACTATACATTGAATTATACCTTCTACAACAGGGGTACCCAACCCCCAGTCTGTGGACCAGTAGAGGGCTGTGGCATACCAGCAATTGGTCCGCACAAACAAGGAAAGCCCCATCCACAAGATGCAGGCAGCACACAAAGCCACGCTCCCTCTGGTCCATGGAAAAAACTCTCTCCACATAACCAGTCCCTGACGCCCAAAAGATTGGGATCTTCTGTTCTACAATATCCTTTTTTTAAAAAGGAAGATTATCAGCATACCACAATATGGTGGCAAACGTATTGATCAAGTAATGAGCCTGTCCATATATCAATTCAGAGAATATTAAAAATAAAATTTATGTTTTATGAAAAAAATGCATTTTAATTCGGCTCTTGCTCTTTCTACCCCTGATAATAGCTTCATCTCAGGTAACAGAGACATGCTGCACTAATAACATGCATGAAGTGTTAGTGAAGGGAGGGGCTAAGCATTTTAACTCTGCAATCACATGTCATTGGATTCTTCAGTCTCTGCCAATAATTATAATTTCCAAAGATGTAGCCTCAGCAGTCTAAGCAGAAAGGGAATGATCATGGACATAGAGTGTGAACAATTTAATCAGGAATGAGATAGAAAAGGAGGGAAGAAGAAATAGAAGTAGATAAGTATGAAAGAATGAAAGATAATGGGCAAACAAAGAGTTCTCCGTACTGCAACATTACTTTGGAAGGAGCTGTTTCTTATCAACAGGAATATATCCAACTACAAATCAGATTTGGAGAGGTAAGTGCTTTTAGAATTCAAGCGTTATATTTTCCACAGTATTGGAAGAGCAGTTGTACGTAGTTTATTTTCAACACTGCTGACTAACTTATCTTTACCAATATAATTAAAAGTGTGCAAATTCCACCACCACCACCAAAAGTAAATAATATAATCCAATATCTTTACACTAGCACTCTCTGAAGCATGCTCAGTCTGCAAATATTCTACCTATATAGTTTGCTCTAACCCTCTGATGAATTTGGTCCAAATAAATAGTAAGATAGTAATTTAATTTAAATTTAAATAAGGTCTTTACATTTAATGACTAAATAAAAAATTAGATGCTTACATATTTTGTGAAACTTATGTTTTACATCAAGAAGTGTTGATGATGGTGGCATCTGAAAAAAATGGGACAAAGGTAAAAATTTGTGTTTGTTTATACATGCATGCACCTCTATATATGTATGTGTGTTTGTGTGTGTGTGTGTGTGTGTGTGTATGTAGGTCTTTGGTTATTCAGGTTTTCTCCCGCGTAAAATTGGAAGTGTCTTGGCGACGTTTCGACGAAGTCCCATTCGTCATCTTCAGGCTGGTGTTTTCAGCTTCGTGCTTCGAGGAGCACGAAGCTGAAAACTTGAATATATATATATATATTCAAAATACAGCATTCAGACACAAGGTGCACAAAAGCCTGTTTAGTTTGGTTTGAGCAATTTCACATGCAGCAGACAATCTATAACACTTTTAGGGCCTTTTTCAGTTACAAATATTTAAATATTTGTTAAATATTCTGTTAAAGTGGGGCAAATTAATTAGATTGAACCAATTTTATTATTATTTCAGAATGAAGGTTTTTTCATAGTGTATTCATCTGTTCACTAATACCATAATTTCACTAATATCATAAAATATGTTTAAATGTGTTTTATTAAAATGTCACCTTGACAGTCACTTAGGTTCCAATCGCAATGAATATAGACAAATGCCTAAGACATGATGAAATCTAAATGTCCTCAACACAGAAAAACACTGACTTGATTTTATGTTGATTCAGTAATTAAACTCAACTAGTATTTTAATACTCCTTGCTTCCAGGTCTTGAGATAAAGGAAAAATGGACAAATAAATTAAAAATTGACATTTAAGACATTACAGTAGCCCCTGATAAGAGCAAATGCACATACCCAATACTCATACAGCATTTGCTGATAGATAAATGTTCTGTGTACAAATAAGTGTTATAATAGAGGACCAAAGTAGATTTAAAAGAGCTAATAATCCAGATCTAGATCTTAACATAGGGAAATAGGAACTTTAATACTTGGTCTTCTGCTTCAAAATATATTGGGATCTTTTTTTGAAAGCATTTGGTCCACTATACAACTATATCTAATCATGTAGCTTTCATATCTAATACATACACACACATACACACATACACAAACACACACACAAATTTTATTATTAGACATTACCCTCACTCATGTTTATAGGCTTCATAAAAGAAAATGAGCAGTGTTTAAAAATATAATAACTCCCAAGGAGAATTACTTGAGATAATAAAATAATTTTCCCATTGAAATTCTCTAGGCAAATCATCCTGTTAATCTTTGCAAACTGGAAATAGTAATTCTAAGTGCCTTATACATTTGTTGCTGTAAGGATTTATAACACTTCTGAACATTTTACAATATAGTGCAAATTTGCTTTTCTGTATCAGAAATATTACAACATATGAAATGTTTATGAAATGCTTTTTGTATAAACATGGGTATGATAGAATATCTCAGTTATATTCTAGAACTCAAATTTATAATACTTAAGCTATCAGAAGAGCAAATGTTAAATAGAATTGGATATAAAATGTTAGCACTACATAGCAAAAAATAATATTATGCAAATATTACTTATTTAAAAGGATTGCCTAAACATTGTAAGCACTGTATGTCAAAATCTAAATGAAAGTTCTTTTGTTCAGTCTTTTAAGAACTAGTGAGCTGCTGCAGATGGTATCCTGTAATGTTTAAATAATGGAAATCAAGCCAGAAAAAACTCCTATCTGTAGACACTTAATTTGGAGGGCTGGGCACAGTAGGAATCATTCAGCAACATTTTGGTCAATTTCAAAAGCAAGGTCATACATTCATATTTGTTTGATTCACAATCCTATCTAAAATTATAGTGGATCATTAAAGTGAATTTTCATCAAAGCTATATTATAGTCTGCCTTATTTAACAGAAAATGTTTAAAAAAACCACTGCAACATAAATCTCACCTATTGGTACTATTTGATTCTGTTAGTGAATCAGCAGAAAAATTAGAAATATTTTTGAGGAGAAAAATCACTAAGCCAATGCAAAGATTAAAATAAAATACTACAAAATACTGTTTTTTTTTTTTTTTAAAAAGGTATGTACTCTGCAATGTGTTGCTAAAAGCACTCCTAAAAACTTACCTTATCCACTACACAGATCTGCTTTTTGCTGTGGGCATCAAGAATCTCCACTTCAACATAAGTGATTTTTGAATGTCTAAGAACTGGCAGTGGTCTTAGGTGGCCAGCAGAAAGTACAAGTTGGGATAAGTTGAAAAAACTTCTCATGCCATTATAAGGTGTAGGCAATGCTGATCCCTGGATGGCAAGATCTTTCTTATGCTCAAGAGTGCTGGGTTTGTGTCTCCTGAACATGACTGCATGAAATATACGGGCCTGTCATGTCAACACTGGACACCTATAATGGGTGATCTGTTGTCCCTGCATCAGTTAAATACAAACACTGGCTGATGAAAGGTCAAGTGGCATTCCATTTAAAGAGTCTAAGTTTATATGGCAGGATTGGAAACAATGGCTTTCTAATCCATTACTATATTTAGCTGGCTATTGTGATATTCTCTACTACTGTTTTTATTTTAAACAGTGTTTGAAATAACACACCCTGTTCAGTTTCTTATCATGCTTCCTAATTATTACAATCCTATCCCTTTTTAGAAAAACAGTCCAAGAGCTATAAAGGAATCAGAACTGATATACAATAGAATACATTATTATATGTAGAAGCTGGGAATACAAATAAATCCAGTTTTAAAAATGCAAGTCAAATGTCACATGGGAGTTGTTTCTTAATATAGAGCATGTCTGTACCAAGATTGTAATGCCAATCAAACAATCAAACACTGTCAGATGTCTGTTTTATATTGTCAAGTAATCCATGAAGCTAAAAATATGCTTGTGTAGGTAAATGACCTTCCATTCAATTGCATCATATTGTCATCTGATGCCAAAAGCAAAAAAAACCCTTATCCATATTATAGGAGTCAAAGTACACATACACACACTTTATACAAATACTCTATTCAAATTTCAGTACAAACTTCATTGTTGAATCTCTGGCTTGGGATAAACCAGCATAAAAATAGTAGAAATAGTGCTTCTATTTGTTGGCATCAAAGCTTGAATAAATACATTTTTCAGAGCAGAATTCATTTCTTCATATGTGTCATATAGTATCAGGGACATACTATATTCTAAATCAATTCTGGTTCCATCATTGCATGTTCATACTGAAAGCATAAGTTTACAGCAATTAACAGAAGAATTTATACTTGACTGAGAAACAATAATATTCTGCATGAATTCATAAAACTTAGAATGATGTACTTACCTGGTAAGTTTAAGCAGTAGGTGAAATACTGCAGCATGATTCCTATCCAAACTGAAGCATGCGTGCTCTTGATTATGTAGCAATCAGAACTATTTTTTTCTTCTTGATATGGTTATTGTTCCAGGCAGAAGCGGAAAAGATGAGGAAAAAACAAAGGCTGAAGGACTTTGATGTTGTAGACTAGGGGTGTCAAATTGCTGGCCTGCGGGGTGGATGCATCATAGTGAAACCATGCCCATCCCATTACCAGCAATGGCAAAAAAGTCACGATATGTCGCGACATATCACGTGACGTTGCAAGTTTGTCACCCTGACCCATAACCCCAATAGTAACGAAGAAAGTAGTGAAAAATTAAAAGCGAAGGAAAAACCCTGCCTATGCTCTTCCAGTGCAAAGCCACCACATCCCCATTTTATGATGTAGATTTCAGTAGCAGTAGGTGAGGATAAATATTAGAAAGATTGGGAGCATTTGAGCTGGTAACTCACATCATTTTGGGAGCTATAGAAAGAAACTTCTGCCCAGAGAATAGGAAGCAGGCAATTGTGACTTCATAGAGAATAAAGGAAGGAAGAAAAGGGGACATGGTCATAAACATTGATCTACTCATTTGTAAAATCACTCTGGGATTTCTCTAGATTTTGTTTCTGCTAAACCATGCCCACCTAAAATATTTTGATAATTTGATTAAAAGAAGATAGTTTTTCTCTTTTGTGCATACTCCTGATTAATGTATTGCATATTATACTTGACTTACATTTAAAATTGGTCTTCCATGAGATTTAAAACTTAATCTGCATAGATTCTGCATTTTGTTATTCTGCAGTCAGCACATTCACATCAAACTAACAGAAATATAACTACAGTTTTAAAATCTGTAATTTCTCAAATGTGGAAATTCTTCAAGGTGTATCCCTAATCTCTGTGTGTTTGATTGACTCATAAATCTTTCTTAAAATATGTTGTCTTTTTTACTATACAGGTAATCCCCGAGTTACGAGTGTTCACTTAACGCTCGTTCAAAGTTACTTGAGCTTACGAGCAAGTCCCGAAGTTATGAATATTGCAGCACTATGACAGTTGTTCACCCTTACAAATAATAATAATAATAATAATAATAATAATAATAATAATAATAATAATAATGTTGGAAGGGATTCTTGGAGGTCATCAAGTCCAGCCCCCTGCTCAGGCAGGTTACCCTATACCATTTCGGACAAATGGCTGTCCAGTTTCTTCTTAAAAACTTCCAGTGTTGGAGCATTCACCACTTCTGGAGGCAGGTTGTTCCATTGGTTAATTGTTCTAACTGTCAGGAAGTTTTTCCTTAGTTCTAGGTTGCTTCTCTTTTTGGTTAGTTTCCATCCGTTGCTTCTTGTCTTCCTTCAAGCACTTTGGAAAATAGCTTGACTTCCTCTTCTTTGTGGCAGCCCCTGAGATATTGGAACACCGCTGTCATGTCCCACTGACCACAGTGACCACATTCCCTCCCTCCTCACCCCCGCTCTGGATCTCCCTAGGCACAAGGCCTTCAATACTTATCCTATGAATAACTTATATTTAAAATTTAAAATATCTTATAGACTTTACTTTTTTATTTTTATTTTTTACTTTTATTATACTTTCTTTTATCTTTTTCTTTTTTCTTCCTCTTTATTCTTTTTCCTTTTAAGTATTTTTCTCTTGGTATTTATGTTTTTCTATATATATATTATTGTTAATTATTTTATAATTTGTTTAATTAATGTATTTAGATTTATTCATGGTTTATATCTTTTTTAAGATTTTTTGAAGAAATTTTAATTAAGCCTATATTCAGCTCTGAGAAGGTCGGGGGAGGGAATGGGAGGATTGGGGAGGTTTGGGGAAGGGTTGTTTTGTTTTTGTAAAATTTTTAAAAAAATTTCAACAAAAATGTATTTATTAAAAAAAAAATACTCATCCTGTGAAAATTGAGATCCTTTGCTTTCTTGGTTGCTCCAGGCCTTCGGTACATTCACAGAGAATGGAGGCCTAAAGTAATGCAAGATCACGCCAGATCAGAGGAATGAGATCTCACACGACTGATCTCACATGATCTCATGGTAGTTTAGGCCTCTATTCTCTGCAACAGAGAACAGAATCGAAGCTGGGGGATGCTTCCACCATGCCTCTGGAGACTGGATCGGGCCTGGAAAAGAGGTCTGGAGACTAGATCAGGCCACTGGGGGGGGGGCACAGAAGCCTTCCCTATCCTCCAATCCGGGTGGCAGCAGCCTGGAAAAGGCTTCCAGATCAGGCCATGGGTGGGGTGCAGAAGCCTCCCCTGGCCTTAGATCTGGACCACAATGGCCTGAAAAAGGCCTCCGGAGCCCAAATTGGGCCATGCAGGGTGTGCGCAAACATTCCCTGGCCTCAAATCTGGGCAACATCAGCCTGGAAAAGGTCTCTGGAGCCCATATTGAGCCATAGGGGGGGGGACACAGAAGCCTCCGCCGGCCTCTGATCTGGGCCACAGCAGCCTGGAAAAGAACTCTGGATCAGGCCCTGGGGGGTCACAGAAGTGTTCCCCAGCCATGGCAGAGAGGAAACGGATCTTTTCCAGGTGAGTCCGGCATGGCAGGAAAGGAGGGAGAAGCATGCAGTAGTTTAGTAGATTGGGGAGGCCTTGGGGTCCTGTTCCAGCATTAGACCCTCCATGGCCTTCCTCACCCTGAGATACCTCATGTTTGCTTAATGATCCATGTGTGTTTTAATGAGCAAAGTAGTGATTTCGTACCTCAAATGAGATTCCCTCTGTTGTGTAGTGGGAACAGTGAGGCACTGAAGACACGGAGTTGAAATAGCAGCTCTTTATTAAGTTCTCACAGAAGCAGCTCTAGCAGCTGCTTGACTCATATTTATATGGACCACCACTAAATGGTAGCCAATGAATTTAAAGTGTGTATTCCTGCCTAAAACAAAGCTTAAAGTTTATACAGACAGACAGTTAACAATTAGTTAATCATTTTTATAACAGACCTTATGAAGTAGTTTAATACATAACATCCCTTCCACCCAATTCAATTACATATCCATAAAATGTACATAGTCCTTTAGGTAGGCAGGCGGTTTTCGCGATTGTTCTGATCGTCACATTTCTTCCGGAGATTCCCAGTCTATCCTCGGCTGGCTGGGTAGACCAGGACTCCATGGCCCACTAGCACTGGGTGGACCAGAGACTATTTGACTGCTCAGGTCCGGTAGACCAGTCTCTGTTTGATTTCTCGGGCCAGGTAGACCAGTCCCCTTTTGGTTGGTCTGTCCGGGTAAACCAGTACACATGTCAGTGAGCGGAACAGTCCTGGAAAGTCTGGGAAATAAGTCCTCCAGCAAGTTCTGATCTGCGGGCACTGTTCCTTGGGTCAGTAGTGACTCAACCATGACTGAGTCGATCAGCATGTCTCTTTGAGTCTTGCAGGATTCCAGAGACTCTGATACGCCGCAGCTGTCAGGCAACTCTCGGCTCTCCTCTTGGTCGGTGGTGAGGGTTTGACATGCCTGCTGCTGACACAGTTGATCGATGTGGCAGTGCAAAAGGCATCCATCTTCCAGGACCACTTTGTACAACAGTGGTCCTGACACCTTGCAAACCACACCTATCACTCCCCAGTGCCCCTTGACCATAGTTCCTTGCCCAAACTCGATCGCTGACTTGTAAATTCCTTGGGGGCTTGGGCTGCGCTGTCTCTGTTGCGACTCAATCTGGATGGAGACAGTCCAGCTTCATAGTCAGCCGACATCCCCATCTCAGTTCCGCTGGGCTATGACCCGTTGAAGTGCACGGAGTTATGTGTTGGCAGAGCAGAAAGTCTGCCAACCTGTGATACCAATCGCCCTTTGTTATTCTTTTAAGTGCTTCTTTGGTCATCCTGAACATCCGTTCCACTTGACTGTTAGAGGCCGGGTGAAATGGGACAGAGGTGGCATATCTAATCATATTAGACCTAGAAATGACTGAAATTCTGCAGCAGTAAATTGTGCCCCATTATCTGATACGATTACATCGGGTGAGCCGTGTGTGGCAAAGATTCTGCGCAGTTCCTGGATGGTCCTGGCAGTAGTCATAGAAGGGACAGGTGCTACATCAGCCACTTTGAGTGACTGTCCACTACAATGGGGAACACCTGTCCTTGGAAGGGTCCTGCATAGTCTATGCGAATCCTAGACTAGGGAGTTTGCGTAGTCTCCCAGCAATGTACTGGGGCTTGAGACATTTCAGGTCTGGTCTGTTGGCAAACCTGGCATCCTTTAACTTGAGCCTCAATGTCCTTATCCAACCCTGGCCACCACAGGTAGCTTCTCGCGAGTACTTTCATCCTTACTATTCCAGGATGTCCCTCATGCAGAGATTCTAAGTTTCTTTTCCTTAATGTGTGTGGGACTATAACCCTACTCCCCCATAGAATGCATCTTTTGTATGCAGACAGCTCATCTTGTCTTCTAATAAAACTCTGAAACTCTGTTCCAGGACTGGTTCCTGGCCGCCACCTCAGCACCCAGTTCAAAACACGGCTGAGTGTTTTGTCAGTAGCTGTCTCAGCAGCCACATCCCCTGCTTGAAGGGGAGATTCTGGCAAACCCTGAATTGACAAGATGCATGCAGCAGGTGTGGAGTCTGGTTCTTAATTAGGCAGGGGCAATCTTCTGAGTGTGTCAGCGTGACCCATTTCCTTGCCAGCTTATAGACTAGCCTGTAATTGTTGGCTGCCATAAAGATTGACCACCTCAGCATCCTTGGAGAAAGGATCTGAAGGGCTTGCTTGTCTGCAGTAAACAGACCTAGAAGGAGCTTGTGGTCTGTAAAGACCGTAAATGAGTGGCCGTAAAGGAAATCGTGGAATTTCTTTATTCCTGCAACTATGGCTAAAGCTTCCTTATCTATTTACATATAATTTCTTTCTGCAGGGCAAAGTGCCTTGAGTAATAAGCTATGGGTGCTTCCTGCCCATTTGCCATTATATGGCTCAGAACTGCTTCTATCCCATTTGATGACGCATCACATGCAATACTGATAGGCAGTTTTTCATTGAAGTGTGTTAACACGGAGTCTGAAGACAGCAGTGATTTGACTGCTTTGAAACTATTTTCGTGGATGCTAGTTCACTGCCATGGTGCCCTTTTATCTAGGAGTCTGTGTAAAGGCTCTGCTAATGCAGCCTTGTGTGGAAGAAAGCCATGGTAAAAATTAAGTAACCCCAGAAATGCCTGCAGTTCCCCCTTTGACTTAGGTTGGGGAGCCTGTAAATAGCCTTAAGCTTTGAATCAGCGGGGTGTATTCCGGCAGCGTCGATCCGGAAGCTGAGGAACTCTGTGGAGTTCACTCCTATTTGACATTTTTCTCTTTTGAGCTATAGCTCCGCTTTGTGGAAGCACTGAAGAACAGCCCTTAGACATTCTGCAAGTATTTCTGCTGACTCGCCAGCAATTGGAACATCGTCAAAATAAGGACACACACCTGGGATGTTTTTTAACATGCGTTCCATCATGCTCTGAAAGAGCCCTGGGGCTACACTGACCCCAAATTGCAGGTGACAAACCTTGAATGCCCCTCTATGGGTAACTATTGTTTGATCCTTGGCAGAGGCATCATCCACAGGCAGTTGCTGATATGCCTGTGCCAGGTCCAGCTTTGCAAATAAGCGTCCTCCTTGTAAAGATGCCAGAATGTGGCTATCTACAGATATCGGATACGCATGCTGCTACAGTGCCTTATTAATAGTGCACTTATAATCAGTGCAGATGTGTACCTCTCCATTAGGCTTGACCGGTATGACTATGGGGGTTTCCCACACACTGCTGTCAACAGGTTGCAATACTCCCTGTTGAACAAGCTTGTCTAACTCTGCATCAATCTTGTGCTTAAGGGCAAAAGGCACTTTACTCTGATTGGGGCTATGGTTGGATCAAGGTGGAGAGCAATTGGTGCTCCTTTGTGTTTTTCCAAGTTGGGGCTGAAAACGTCAGCAAACTCCTGGCAGGCAGCTCTGTTGATGCCAGTCACATGGATGCCCAGGGCATCAAACCAGTCTAGGCCGATCAGGCTTGTTTGCTGGCATTCCACTGCAATGATGTTGAGGGGACCCTCAAACTCTTTGAACTTTACTTTTAACATGGCTTCGCCTTTAACCGCTACACAGGAATTTTGAAAATCTGTCAAAATTAAATCTGACAGCTTG